TATATATATATATATATATATATATATATATACTGATTAAGTATCAATTAAGTGAAATTATCAGTCTTAATGATACCAATACAATATATGATATTGATTTAGTATCAGTTAAGTAAAATTAGTTTGGGAGAGGGGTATATATATAATGTAATTATTTAGTGGGTGTGAATGTAAATGAGTATATGTTTGTAATTATTTTAGTTTTATGACATATTTGCTTAGTTTCCCCTAAAATATATAATCTTTTGCATCTGTTAATATTTCTTCTTGGGTATACAATTTAGACGACATAAGATTATTGAGTTGGCATAAGAAAAAAAATGGGCAAGCTTTTAAAAAAGGAAAATTGTATGAAATAGCAAATTATTAATTCAAATTAAATGATATAGTCATACTTTATTTTATTTGTAATTTGAAGAAAATATCCCATTTTTTTGCCATCTGGTTCAATAGACAATTAGTCATTTTCGATATACAATTACCCATTCGGTATACAAATGTATAAAATGTGTTTGTGTTTGTATAAAGCGAGAGAAAAGTGTATATACAAATACAAATACAAATACATATATTTTCGTCCTATACACTTATAATTATACAAATACAGATCTTATTATACAAATTACAATGCATAAATGAATTTATACAAAACTGAACAATTTATATAGAATTGAATGTATCTAGCGAATTATACAAATCAAAAGTTCCATAGCAAACATAAAATTTGTTATGGAGTGCAATTATGCAAACTATAGATATAACATACAAATATGATTTTTATGTTTGCTACATGTGAAAATTGCTCTTTAAAAAATTACAAAACACTTTTTCTCTTTATTATGATATTGTAAAGTTATAATTCTTTTTTGAGACAAGTGTCAAACACACCTAAACTATACCCTTTTTTTTAGTTTCATACCTAAACTATTGAGAGAGTAAGTTTCAAACTTAAACTATCACTTATTAGTTTGAGAAACACACATCTCTCTTTTATAACACTCTCGTCATGATGTGTGTAATACACTCTCTCTTTTACTTAAAGAAAATTGTCACATGTCCACCTCATACTCTACATAGACAAAACATTTCACCTTGACAAAAACTAAATAAATTAATTATTAGTGAAAATTAAAGATTAAAAGAATAATAATTTTTTTATAAAATAAAATATAAAATATTTTTCTTACACCACTCCATCACTTCCTCTCACTGTAACCCC